TGAATTTAGAGTTAACATTTCCCTTTTTATAAAATGAGCTGCTTTCGTTTCTACCGTGTTAGTTGGAAAAGTTGACCAATATGAGCACGAAACTCCTGGTCTTAGGTGTTATTTTCACCTTTTCAGTATACATTTTCCAAGTTGGCCAAGAAAATGTCAACATTTTTCAAGAGAAAACAAGGAAAACAAACTGGTTGGCCTAAAAGCCGATGTTCGGCAGAACTAGGGTTCACGACTCCTCAAAACTTCAAATCCAATCAACAAAAGGAATTGGACATGCAACAACAGTGTGATGTAAGCCCACTAAGAATCCTCTTTCACCCCAACAAAGGGAAGCCCACTTAGAGTCTATTTCTGTTGATTGAAACGAAACCCAACCCAAATCTCTTAGAATAGTTGGGCTTTTCCTGGAACCGTGTAGCCCAAGCCCTTTAAAACAAAAAAAAAAAAAAAAAAAAAAAAAAACAACCCATACATTCACAAAATTATTATACAAACACGAAGGCTGAAGATTCTGAAAACATTTCAAAATTTCCTAGAAAAAAAATGGAGTATTTGATAAAACTCGAAGAAAGATGAGAAATCAGTCCAATTATCATTGCAGGATCAAGTGGAGTCTTGTCTTCCTCCCAGCTCCCAAATGTAAGCAGCCAAAATTTCCCATCATTTCCACAGCCACAGCCCAACCAACCAAGCCAAAATTAGGCAGCTAGTAGCCTTGATAGGTACATGGACCTCGGGCTGAAATACACTTTATGTGTTGGACCATCTTATGTAAATGGAGAGGTGACCCAGGTTTTGCTGGCAATTGTTTACTTTAAATAAATCTGATTGCCTTTCTGTTTGAGTTCTACTAATATTTGTTTGAGTTTATTTACCCAGGAAGATTTCTTCATAATTTTGCATAATACTCTGGCAGAAATGGAAGAAGTTACTGAACTTCAACCGGTTCCAGATGCCCATGTCCCTGTTATGAAATTTAAGTTCCAGCCTTCCAGGGAATATCAATTGATCTTCTTTATGGGAGTATATCTCTTTTGGTTGTTCCAGATGTAAGTCTTAAACCTATTAACTTATTATCATTTGAAGCTAGCATTACCATTGACCCCACTGAATTCTTCCTTCCTCCCCCTACTCTGAAATATTTGTCAGCCAGAACTCATAAGGTTTTTGGTTCCCTATCTGCAAGACTTTAATAGAGATTTGAGAGGCCATTACTTGCTATTTAACATTATAGAAGGAAAAACAAGAAGAGTGGTCTTCTAATGTAAAACAGATAGAATTAATACTGTATTACGTACAGTAGCTTTAATTAATCCCCTCTGTAAATTTTTTTAAATTATAATCATTGACTATATTCTATGATTTCACGCTCATGCGTGCATCTAATTAAAAAAAGAAAAAAAAAGAAAAAAAAAAGGAAGAAGATAGATCCTTCATGAACATTAAACGACAGTTTAGCCATGATTTAATATCAATTCTCATGGACCATAAGGCCCATGTATATAGACTTTATTGGGTAGGTGCACCAACATATTATATTTTATCATCTCACCTAAACTGTGCAATTTTCACATTTTAATTTGGATAATCACCATCGTATTCCGAATTTAATTTCTTGCCTTGTACCCACTCTCTTGGACCATATCAATGGGATGAAACTATGAAAGAGACTCACAAACAAACAATAATTATTAAGCCAAGCAACCGACACTAATTGAGCTTATTTTTGTTAGCCAATAATGGTTAAAGTTTTATTGATTCTGTTGTTAGCAGTATGGTATATGTGGTCTTAATTTATAAAATGGTAGTGTCCCATAGTGTCGTTCAACGTTCATTTTCTTCTAGCACCTGCTGTCCTTAAATTGAAAAAAAAAAAAAAAAAAGGAGAGAGAGAGAGAGAAACTTTTCTTCTAGCCGATGAATTACATCTGATAGAATTAATGGAAAGGTTATGGTTTTGACCGCGTAAAATTTTAAATATTGTATTTTAAAATATTGATTTTATTTGTTTAATTGTTAAAAATAATTAATAATTATTGTAATAGTTAGATGATAGATGACAAAACAGTTAATATATATTTATTACTTGAATAGATTAAAATTAATTTCTATACTACTCTTTTTATTTATTTTTAGTAAATTAAATTTGACTTTTTAGTTTTTTAAATATAAATTTTATATAAATATTTAACATATTATATAAATAATAGTAGAAATTCTTTTTGATAAAATAAAAATATTCAATAAAAATTTTAGATTTTGATACGAGCACTCGCTGGTTCAACACTCGACAATACATATCTTATTTTAAATTACACTCTTCATTGGTTCGAGATAAGAGACAGAAATACTTAAGCCAACAGCCATTCATTTGGCCATAGTGTATTCCCGTTTCCAAACAGACTGCAAGAAGAATTCTTGCCAAGGAATATAGACTACTCTTTTTGTTTATTTTCAGTAAATTAAATTTGACTTTTTAGTTTTTTGAATATAAATTGTATATAAAAATTTAACATATTATATAAATAATAATGGAATTTTTTCTGATAAAATAAAAATACCCAATAAAAATTTTAAATCTTGATATGTGTACTCACTAGTTCAACACTTAACAAGGCACATCCTATTTTAAATTACACTTTTGATCGGTTCGGAATAAGAGGTGGAAATACTTAAGCCAAGAGCCATTCATTTAGCTGTAGTGTATTCCCGTTTCCAAACAAACTGCAAGAAGAATTCTTGCCATGGAATAGAATATGATGATATCACTGCTCCCTCTACATTTGCATATTTCATGGATTTGTTGGAAAACAATAACAAGGGAGAAGCAGATTCAGTTGAGAGTTGGCATCTGCTTGGAATGCATAGCCTCAATCTTTGTCATGCCCTTAGCACCATTTCTGAGACATCTCAAATCAAAGCATTTATTTGAGATTACTTGAATCATGCTGCCACTAATGTTATTGATGAACTCAAAATCCTCGCTTATTTTTTTCTTTTCCTCTTCCACTATTTTTCCTCTACTTCCCCACCCTTTGTCACAGTGTCATTGAAAATTTTAAAGATGTTAATAAACTAGTATAAATTTCTAGTTGGTCATCATTCTCAGTCTCTGAAATTCTAAGATGCTGTCGATGGGGCTTGGGTTCACTCAATTGGACTCCCAAAAACCATGACTGTGGTAGATAGGCAGCGTCCTCAATTGACAGGGGTGGGCAAATCAAGTGCAGGCTCTTTAAGGGGTCATTGATGCACTTCTTTGATGGGAACCAAATGGCGGTGGACACGATCGGTCATCAATGGGGCTTGGGTTCACTCAATTGGGCTGACTTCTACCATGGGAACCTTCAAATTCCCTTCAAGGTGACCTTCAAGACTTGCATTCGACTGGAATGAAGGTGAAGAAGAGCCTTTGGCTCACTAGAGGAGCATTTCCTTCTATGTCACTATGCAGAATCTAACCAATAGATTTCTTCCAGACAAGCATATAATAAGCCTTATCTCCATTTTATGTTTTTTTTTTTCACTAAACCACTTATGTGTAGAAAGGTGTATGGGTTCATTGTGTAAACATAACATTTCTCAAAAATTTTATATAGGTAAAACAAAACTTTTTAATTATATATTATTTATGTAAATTGTTAAATTTTTATCTAAAATTTATATTCATAAAAAAATTAAAATAAAATTATTAAAAAAAATAGAAATAATATTTTTAAATATCATAATTAACTATTTACAAAATAAAAATTTAAAATTTATGTGGCTCTAATAGTGTAATGTGTAACCATAACCACGTGAATGAACTTCAATGACATTTTTATAGATTAATTGCCACTTTCCCACTTATTGAAGCAAGCCAATATGTCCTAGGAAAAAGTAAAAGAAACATGCATCAATTTTTCCATCTGAAGACATTTGATGATGTTGATGTATTAACCGCTACTTTACCAACCTTTTATGGATCGATAGTTAATTAAGAATTATTTTGTAATTAATTGTAACTTTAAAAAATAAAGTCTCATGCAATATTCTCTATGTATAAACAAATAAATTATATGTCAAAACATGCATTAATTTCTACAAAAAGAAAAGGAAAAAAAATTTAATCAATCAAGTTTTTCCTTCTAGGATCTGTAATATTGATCCTCCAATGTTCATCTTTGAGCCCACCCTCTCTGGCCTTCCTCTTGTCCCAATCCAATTCAATCCTTCTCACCTTCGTTAACCCACAAAACTTCTGCAACTTCTCATCCATAGTGTCATGAACCTTCCACCATCTCTCGTGGGCCACGTCGCTAGCGTACACTTGTTGATCCAATTTGTCCCAGTTACAGTCATAATCCCTGTAGCACATCCAAGGTTTCAGACCCAAATAGTGAATTGAATAAACTTTCGGTGGATCAGCACCAAAAAGCTGGTTCTTGAGACCCGTCTCAACAGTGTTATTTGCCCAGAAATTCTTCAGAAAGTTCACTCTCCTGGGTAACCTATGCCACCACACGAAGATCTCATTCAGGAACCCCTGGTCACCGCCATTGTACGAGACGATTTCTCTCCGATTCTCCATTAACATTTTAAACGTGCAATTTGATGGTTCAATCACCATAATGCCCGAATTGAAAATCCAGACATCATTGCCTGCGCATAGACAAATCCATAATTTTTTTATTGAGAGAAGATACATCGGTTTTGCAAGTTGACAATTTTATAAGTTAGTGGGGTCTATCCATACCTGTAGCAGTCATCTGAGGGAAATGGAAGAGAAGGTCAAGATTGCGTAGGACAAGGATGTCGGCGTCAATGAATATGACCTTGTTGTAATCGGTCAGCTGCCATAATCTGAACTTGCTGTAGTTGTACTCGTTGTAAGAACCCTTCTCGGCTCTTGGGTTTCGGATTCTTTTGATGAGCCGAATCTTCCATCCCGCCGCCGCAAGAGCCTCGCGTTTGGGGGCGGAGATGGACTTGTCGATGAGGAGGACGAGGTCGCGCTTAGTGCCTGTGTTGAGGAGGCTCTGTGCAAGGGCAATGGCGCCACAAACGTATGTTTCCTTGGAATGTAGGACGGTGGCGTAGGCTTCACGTTTGACACTAGTCCTTATCCTTCTTTGAATCTCAGACACATCATATACCTCATCAACTCCTGAAACCAACGAAAAAAATGTTAATTGAGCAATTGCTAGGTTTAATTATTTAAAAAAAAAAATGGAATCACTTGGGTTTTACAAAGTAAGATCAATGATTAGTTTATCTTTTGTGTATTTCACAATTAATGAATATTTTCAAAAGTTTAGAAGGGACTTGAATGTAAAATTAGTTAGTATTAATTACATTAAACTCTAATCTTACCACTTCTAATTAATAATTGTTAACTATAAAATTATGCATTAATTAAAGGTGTATAGATTTCAAAATTTTGGAAGGGATTTAATTAATGTTAATGCATTAATTATGGGATCATGCTTATGAAAGGAAGATGATTTTGCAATGCATTTCAAATTAATGCCAATTAGAACTCGCGGGGGAAGGGGGGTAGATTTCAAACAAATGAAAACAAAAATTGATTAGATTTTTTCACCGAAGAAGTAGTTGAGAGTCGATACTCCACCACATTTTTTTAGGGGGCGGACGTTACCTAATGCGTGGTAGACTTCGTCACTAAGCAAAATTATTGAACGTGGTTTTCAACATCAAGTTATTATTAACTCCTTCGGGTTTGAATTTTTCTCCCAATTATTTATTAGAAACTACATTTAAATAAGTAAAAATGGTTGCTATTATTCAACGGGTAGCGCCTGTAGCTCAGTGGATAGAGCGTCTGTTTCCTAAGCAGAAAGTCGTAGGTTCGACCCCTACCTGGCGCGATTTAATTACTGTTTTATTATTTTTCTGTAATTTGAAGCCGTACCTTTTTCCCACAGCGGCAAAGCCAAGTTGCAGGAACCCACCGGCAACGAAACTTTCTGTTCCAACCTCGCCGTCTCCGGCTGGTAGAACCACCACTCTCCGTCTTGTTTCACCAAATCATCACACCGGAACAGCTCCAGCATCGGCCGACACTTGCTCAGAAACACTACTTTCGTCTTCCCATTCCCATCCTTCTTCCCCTTTTTCACTGCCAATTTCGCTACCAAAAGATGAACTTGCAGCCTGAACACTTCCCTCGCCCACCCTTTCTCCGGAAACTTGCACGGCAGCCTACCCACTATCAAGTCCATACTTCCATACATTTCCAAGTCCGGCATTGGTATCTCAGGGCACGCCGCGCCATCAATTTCCTCCTCTTCATCGATCCACTCTGGGAACAAATCTGGCCATTCGAAAAGCTCCGAAGCTCTCTCGAAACCAATGGGAATTGTTTCTCCATGCTTTTCCCATTCACTCACATCTTCTTCATCCAAATTCACCATCCCAATCTTCATTCCACTCCCAATTTCCTTCATAAACTCCGGTACCTCTAGCTTACTCCCATTCATCCCCTTCCTCCGATTCTCTGTTTTCTCCAGAATTGCCTTCATCCTCACCCCTGTTTCCACCTACGAACAACCAAATTTAATTCAACCCAAAATGTAAAAACCCCCAAAACAAATGATATCTAAACATCCGAACTTGATTGAGTTAGAGCTCACCTCACCTTCTGATGGCACTCACGGAGGGAGCATCGGACGAGCGATGCTGCGTTCTGGAAATAAACGGAAGACGATGGCCGGAAAAAAAGAGTGACATAGATGATGAGGAAGAAAGCTAGGAAAACCAAGTTGATTCTTATGACCAAAGCCTTTGAAGGAGTGGCTTTGATCATCTTGTGAAGGTTGAGTCCCTGTACCCCGATGCTAGCTGCTTCCCCCATGAAGTAGAATAAGATGTTTGTGGCTCAGGGTGGGCGCTATTTATAAATGTAACTTGAACTGCTTTCTCCGGCTGAGGCAATGGAATTAATTTTTAGGAGGGATTGTGGGGTGCAGTGGTTAAGAGAGCTTAGAAGAGCAAAATTATGAGTAAAACTTCAAGGAAGTCAGACTATTTAGAGATCTCCAAGTGTCGCTTCTCTTATCTTTGGATTTCCTTTGCTTGGGGACAAAAGGGTCGTAGCCAGAAAGGATTTTAATTTTTTTTCCTCAAAATTTCCAAAATTGCCCTTTATTCCCTTCTTTATTTTGCTTAAGATTTACATTTTTTGGGGAAATAACTCTCAGCCCCACCAAAATCTAAAAAGGATAGTGTATCTTGTTTACCTTTTGAACCATAGCTTGAATTAGAACCTTTTCCATAATGTAGGAAAGTATGACGAGGGAGGATTTTATATATATACATACATATATATTGAAAAGTTAACAAAGCTTGAATCACCAATGTTGATTTAAAATTAAAGTTTTATTATTAGTAGAACTCAATTACTTTATAAATATATATATATATCTAATGATTAGCTATATATATAAGATAATTCTTTATTTTTTTCAAATTTTTCCTCATTTAACTTAAGATATAAATATAAAATTTTTAATTTGTAATCCTAAATTCTTAAATGTTGAGATAATCATTCGATGTCTTCTTAGTGGTATGACATGCGAGACAATGGTCTTGCTCTCTCTACGGTATGAAAGGCCGAGGTAAGGGTGAAATGGTGAATTACTTTTTCTTTATAAAGAAAGTAGAATATTAAAGGTGGGAATCTTGAAACGGGCAGGCTAAGCAGGCCCGCCAACAACCCTTTGGTTGCCCTGTCAACTTCGGAGAAGCAATGAAATGTCGCCTTTAGCCGTTAGGGATTTGCTAGCTAGGATGAAGCTTTCAACCAATAATATTTAATACTGTATTAATTTCTTCTTTACATTTCAGAAATAAAAATAGTAATGATGATTGAAAGAGGATTTAGGTTGGCAATGTGTATTATCTCAACCGACCCAAATGATTTCAAGGTGTTTAGAGGACGACAGAGCCAAAAAGATTGGTAAACTATCATAATTGGTACCAAAATTTCACCCTCTGTCAATTTATTGATAATTAGTTGGTTAATACCCATTAGGCACACGGGCTATACACGGGCTATTTCAACAAAGATATTAGGCCTTCATGCTAATTAGTCGAGTATCGATAGGTTTGCAAGCACCAAGATTAAGTTCATTCCTATCCAAGAAATTCACAGGAATGTTGCAATACATATTCATTACCTTCTTAAAAATTGAAGATCGTTTAATAAAATTAAAAACAAATCTCATTACCGACTAAATCAACTCCTAGACATTGATTAGCTCATTCTATAGATAGAGAAATCCAATAATATTAGAATACAATCAAGCAGAAGCATGACGTTAGGTATATAAGTGTTGAAAAGAAAAGGAAAAGAAAAAATGACATTCTGTTGCATTCTATATTGTGGAGGTATGCCTACAGAAGAAAACAAGTTCAGTCATATTTTAAACAAAATTAGGTACTGTTTTCCTGTTTCCAGGAAGAAGAAAAAAAATCAGTTTGAAGTATACGCTTTAAGCATGCAAGCATGATAATCGTGAGTAGGACACAATCGGAGGTTAATCCCTCCGACCCAATTACAGGAGACTTGAGATCGGGATAATCTTTCTTCCGATAAAAATGGAAAGACAATGACAAGTTGTTCTTTTAATAAAAAAGCATTCAATTTCAATTCTCATTGTAATGTTCAAGGATGGGATAAACATGCTAATGCCATCCACCCGACATTGTAGAATGGTTTAAGAATAACATGACAGATAAAATGGCAATTTCATTCAGGTGTACTAGTAGAAATCAGCACACATTAGGATGATGAGGCATTCCGCTCCTGTTAGCACCTTGTGAAAAAATCCCTCCTACTCAAGGCTGGCTACACTGGGAAGAAAAAGGTGATAAGCTCTTAGTCACCATACAGTCATGGAGGCATAAACACTCAACAATGTGTCCAAAGAACATCAAAATAATAAAATATAGATGGTGTAGAAAGTTTTTCATAATTTATGCATCTAACCTTGACAACCGGGTTGCCCCTTAGTAAATCAGGGGTTAGTTGATCGTCCATTTTCTCTTATTATTTTTCTATTGAAGAAGACTGTTTTCCATCCCTAAAGCTACAAGCTATTTTCATCTTCTTTTTTTTTTTTCCCTTCAGATTGAGAAGCAGTGAAGGTAATTGACTTCTTAGCAACGATGGCTGACCTGATAAATCGTGAGCTTGAAAACTCCAACTGTGTTGAGTACTTTCTGATCTTTCATAGGATACTGTCTAAAAAAGTATATGTAGTGACTCATCCTTTCACCACATCCTGGATGTGTTGAGAAGAGGTTTTACCAGGTGGAATAAATATCAGATCCTCCCAACCTGAGTTCTTCTCACTCAGCTGCATCAAGCAATAAAAGATTATTTCAGATTTAATTCCATTCTTGCGACATAAATTTACTCAAGAATCATCAGACATGTTACCTCCATTTTCTTCAGAACATCTTCTAAGCTTCCCACCTGGTCAGGCAGATAAGCTCCAGATCAAATAGTAAACAAAACTTCAAAGAAAAAATCACCAAAAAGAAAATTTGGTGACCATGTACAAACACCATCATGACAATGAAACCGAAGAAACTATCTCACATCATATTAGGATTCAAAGCTGATACTGGACAATGGTTTAGATACTGACAAAATATTGATACCCAAATTCATTTTTCCTTGTTCAAATACTGAGTAACTTTCTTGTCTTTCTATTATTGATATTTTTTTTTAACCGTGCTTTGAGATGGTCACAAAAAGCAACAATTTTGTTGGTTCTATGTCAGACATGAGCATAAGAAATTAAGTAGACCATTGGCCAACAAGTTTGATATTTGAGTATTTAAAAAAATAGAATACTATATATACCATAGATAATAATGGAGGAAGAAAGAGAGCAAACTCTAATAAATATTATGAGTTCATCTCCCAAAAAGAAAATAGAAGTGTAATTACAAGTAGATACAGACATCAAATATGTTACCATGATATGTTGAGAAACACCTGGTCCTCTTGCTCTTGAAACCTTTGAAAGTTCTCTTTCTATATCCTCCTGCAAAATGAAAAGCCAACAATAGATGGTAAGTCAAATTTCAAAATTGTGTACTGAAGAAACATAAGCAACTATCAGCAGTTTAATGGGCCACACAAACCTTATTGAAATATACAGGGCAGTAACGCTTGTTTCTCTTCCTTACAACCAGAAGATCCGACTGCAGGCACAGAAAATACAATAGAAGAGTGAAGAAACTTCATTGGTTTCTAGTTGGATAGAAAAAGTTAACCCAATCAAACTCCTCCATTATGAACTCAAGTAAAGTAAGAACAGTTCAAGCTTAATGGTCAAAACAATTTGGGAAAAAGGAAATTTTTGACACATCAAAGGAAAATAAATTTTTACATGGTTCAAGTATCTTAATAAACCCCCAAAAAAAGGGTTGCTATGATACAAAATTAGTTTTAACATAATAACTTCAAAGAAAAATTCAGTCCATTCTAGTAGCATTTTCATGAAAGTGTGTGAACAAGCTAGGGTTAATTACCATACCTGGAAAACAGGAACTCCATCAAACCCATTTTTGGTATCAGAAGCTTTCAGCTGATAAACATGGAAAGCTAACATGAGTTGCTGGGAAAAAAACACAATTTTACAATTAAGAAATTAAGTGAATTATAAACTGCTGTTAGAACACCATTTTAAGGATTTCAATTCAGGCCCATGTCTTGTTCAGGCTCTCCTATCAACAATCACTAAGAAAATTGGCAACAACAGTCTCTCTCTTGCTCCTATATGATATCTCAATTTTAGCTTTCCATTTTTTATTGCATCCAAAATGTTTAATAATATGGGATGGGAGATGAAAACATCCAGACAAAAAGGAGTTCCACCATGCAGAGCACCATGAAGGCCACTTCTTCAAAAAATTCTACAATTTAATCTTCTTTTTCCCCTTGGGTTATTTCTCGCAACGAATGGCTCAACAATCAGGCAGTATGAAATACCAACCTCCAATGCATTCTTTATTTGAAGTGGATCTGGTAGAAACCGAAATGCAATTCCTTCAACCTTCAAGGAGTAGACCTATGAAATGTACAAATAGAAAAACATATTATTAGCTAACAGTGATACAAAAGTAAACATAAATGTTGAGTTCCAAGAAACTAATGACTAAATGAAACTAAAAGAACCAGCAGGAATCAAAATTACAATAGAATTTCAAAGAGACCGCAGCATTCTTAGCTTCTTTGATAAATTTATTGCATTTGCTTTTTACAAATCCTAACCTACATAATAATCCAACCGTGATAAATATACATTCAGCATTTGAGATCTCCAATACATACAGTGCGTAGGAAATCTTAAACTGCCCAATCCTTTCCAGTAAATTAGTTAATTCAGCTCTAAAGACTTACCTGATCAAGAGTAATCGGCACGACCTTAGGCTCACTCCCAAGCTCTCTTCTCCGCAGCCGAACCTAAGTTTTTCCAAAAAAAAAAAAGGAAAAAAAAATTGATATCACAGGAAGCAGATAGATATCAAAATTTCTATAACTTGTGAGGCAATCTACTAACCTGAGCGAGTAGTGCTTCCGCATCCTCCGGTCGGAAGCACAGCAAGCTGATCGACTTGGCTCCATCAGGATCAGAAATAAGCACGAACTCATTGTCGGAGTTGCTGACAGTGTAAACTGCGGTACCGACTAAGGTTTTCGCGACCTGCTCAGGGCTCAGGCTAGCAGCGGTAGCCTTTGGCTGCGATACGGACGCGAAAAGCGGTCGGTGGCGGCACGCGGCAGGAGGAGTGAAGCCGACAGACAGCGCCCCGGCGAGTCGTTTGGTTTCATCAATACGGCTGGCGAGCTCGGAGCCGAGGCGGTGGATGAAGGAGGAGAGGGATAAGAGAGGGTTTGAGGGGAATGGAGGGTTTGGGAAATCCATATTAGACAGCAAGCAATTCGGCTACTACTGAACTGACTAATCAGGATTTTCGGTTTCTGAGGTTTGGTATGCGAAGGGAGGTATTGAAAATCACAGCCCAATCAATAACAGAGAGTTCTCCGTCCATTTTTTTTAGGGCCTTAAGGCTTGGCCCAAAGCTCTAAGAAGATAGGCTAGACCTCGATGATCCTTTTATAGGGTCTGAGATTTTCAAAGCCCACTCTCGATTAATTTTCTTTTTCTTTTTCTTTTTTTAGAGAGTACTATTATTATTATTTCTTACCTATCTCAAATCTACTCTTCCAATAAGAGGGTAGAAATAAACTTATCTCTCAAAAAATAAGAATAAATTATTTTTTAAAATTATCAAGTAAGATAAATTATCTATTTTTTATCTATATTTAATGTATGATGTTATCACATCTCAAAATTTCTTTTGTAACTTAATACATTAAATAATAAGTGATATATTTAAATTAATAATTTAAAAAAATAATTTATCTTTACTCTTTTTTTTTTCTTTTTTTTTTAAAGATAGATATATTCCTACTCTCCTATTTAGGCACAAAGTTAAGAGTTTCACTTATTATTTCCTCTTTTTGTTGTGAAAATAATATATATTTTTTATGTTCAGTATTATTATTTTCCGCTCTTAAAAATATAAGATAGTTTAGGGATATACTCAATAGTTAATATTTATGCATGGTTAATTATTATTCAAATTCTATTAATTGTTAAATATATACTTAATTATTCAGTGTTGTTTGAAACCACTAAATCAAATGGAGTCTATATTAAAAATAAAAGGATAACTTCTATATATTTAATGTTATATCATGATTATAAAGTTAGAACTTATATAATATTATATATAATTATGACAATTCTTTAATTATAATACCATGTAAAATTTTAAGTTATATTTATGAAATAACATTAAATGAGTATATATGATATTAAATTTTTATTTAATATTATATATAGACTTATGAATGAAAATAATCAATTATATAAATACACATTATATTATAAGTTTATAATATTACATAATGTTGTAAGTATAACATTTTCATTATATATAACTATAGTATTACTAAATTAAAAAATCATGTGACTTCTACAATAAGATGAAAAGACTCATTACTTT